CTTCTAATTCCATTTTAATGTTTTATCTTTAAAAAAACTAATATTCCCGGAGTACCTATTATATGCCTGGCACTGAATTAAGCCTTTTAATATGTTCTCTTATTTAATTCTCACAATAAACTCATGGGGTAGGTAATATTATCTTCAATTTATTTATTTGTTTATTTATTTTGGAGATGGAGTCTCACTCTGTCACCCAGGCTGGAGTGCACTGGTACAATCTCGGCTCACTGCAACCTCTGCCTCCCAGGTTCAAATGATTCTCCTGCTTCAGCCTCCTGAGTATCTGGGATTACAGGCACATGCCATCATGCCCAGCTAATTTTTGTATTTTTAGTGAGACAAGGTTTCACTATGTTGGCCAGGCTGGTCTTGAACTCCTGATCTCAGGTGATCTGCCCTCCTCAGCCTCCCAAAATGCTGGGATTACAGGCTTGAGCCGCCTCACCCGGACCTTATTTTCAGTTTATTGAGAAGAAATGAATGGAAAGAATCAATGAATAAGTCACCACTTGATTGCCTAGTGGAAATAGTTACTATTTCACCAATCAATCCCAGAGAATAATTAACGCAGGAGTTGACTGAAAACCTTTGGGTGATCAATGAATGTAACAGGCAGCACTGAGACGTAACTGCAGGCAATTTCAGCCAAATTATAGGATTATCAAGCGCTATCGTTCTGGGATCCTTCCTGTTTTCAGTCTAGCTTCAACCAAGTCATGCAGTCGCTTTACCATGAATCTTCAGGATTTGGGGAGAATCATGATGAACTGAAGCTACAGCAGACATGACAGAGGACGCAGAGCTACTACTCAAGTCGCAGGCTCAGACACGGCCTCCAGTGGCATGGCCAGAGCCACACAGATGGAGCACCACAAACAGGAACAATGACCTGCACTCCAATTTAGTCCCCTTCAGGAGGACCAGGTCCACGTCTCGTTAACAGTATTTTCAAAAAGTTGACCTTTTCTTAAAGACCAGTATTATCTGCAAAATCAGAGGTCTCATGTACCAATTGCTGTCTTTTTCAAAGTTGAGTTAAAAACAAAACAATTTTTTAAATCTTATCTGTAACCTAACATCATCTCACATCACTCATCAGCACGCTTTGAGAAGCGCTGGCTGGACGGGAGTAAGGGGTGTCGTGGCTGACCATGGGACTGCAAACACTAGCTTCTCTGCTCTCACTATCAACAACCATGGCAGCTTTCTGGGTCTCACTGAAACCTGGTTTGTTCATATGTAAAAGGGGAAACCGCATCCCCCTCGCCAGATGAGAAGGTGAACTGGGCACATTCTAGGTATTCATACACACCAGCCCTTAAGCAACCTCAGGCTGTTGACTGAGAACCCCTGGAGATGACCGAGTCACAGCACTTCTCTCACGGCCATGCTGGATAGACTGTCAGGGGCTCCAGGCACCCCGAGGAGGAAGAGGCCCAAGATGCCAAGCCATCTCCAGGAACCTGGCCAGGATGTCAGCGTGGGTGACAGGGCAGCCTCTACAGCTAGAGAATGTGCTGCCAATCATTCCAGGGGCCCATCAAGTGAAAAAAGTACAGGTTGGGTCTGCTCTAGCAGCCGTCAGGGATAACAGGGCTCTTCTAAGTGGCTGAAGGCAGGCTTGTGACATGACATCAGACCAGCAAGCTCCGGCACCATGAGCAGAAATGCAAACTGTTCAGACAAAGTCCAGCGAAAACTGGGAGAGCCACCCTGGACGAATGACGCACGAGCAGCTCCCTCAGCGCCAGCTCCCACCATCTAACTGATGAGTCTGGGAGCCACTAGACCTGGTTTGCCCAACCACAGCCTCGTGTACACCTGTTGTCCCAGAGTAAGTGATACAGCGCCCCTTTCACTCTGAAGTGTCCCGGCTGATCAGTTTCCCGATGAATGAATGTACTAAAGGCCCAAAAAGGAGACATAGTTTGCTCATGGTCACAGTCACCGGTGGCCAAGAGGGGAGAAATTGCGTCTCTCAGTTCCAGGTAATGTTGCACAGTGGCTTTGGAGTCAGGCAGAGCTGTCAAATGCTGCCTGTGTTCCCTGGGGACACTTGATTTCCCTCTGGGAGCTCCAGTTACATCAACAGTAAAACAAGCTGGGCGTGGTGGTTCACGCCTGAATTCCCAGCACTTTGGGAAGGTGAGGTAGGCAGATCACTTGGGATCAGGAGTTTGAGACCAGCCTGGCCAACATGGTGAAACCCTGTCTCTACTAAAAATACCAAAATTAGCCAGATATGGTGGCATGCACCTGTAATCACAGCTACTCGGGAGGCTGAGGCACGAGAATTGCTTGAACCTGGGAGGCGGAGGTTGCAGTGAGCCGAGATCGCACCACTGCACTCCAGCCTGGGCCACACAGCAAGACTCAGTCTCAAAAAAACAAGAAAGAAAGAAAACAGTAAAACAGATGATCACCATAATGGTGTGCATCTCATAGCTCTGTTTTGAGGCTTGAATGGCAAAACATGTGCTATGTGCCCTGTAGAGACCATGGTTTCATACATGGAGATTATCACTACATCAGTGTCCATGGGACACAACGTCCTTGCTGACACAGAGAAGGAATTGTATTCATCGCCATAACCATTCTGTGTCCTTTGGTGCCTGAGCCCACTCTGGCCCTACTGTGAAGAGCGGGAGATAACCCGGACCAGCACAATTGGGTTGTTCTAGGGAGTAACTGATAAAAGGGGAAAAAACAGAGCTATGGGCCATGTGATAAGGGAGGCACAGCTGCCACCACAATAGGGCGGGGGAAGAGGGCAGGAGGGGTGAGAGGGGCCTGGGAAGGCACAGGGGGTGGGGAGCGTGCTGCCTCTGTCTTTCCCAGCTAAGCCCCTCCTGTCCCAGGACCTCTCTGCTCACCACTGTGAGCCTCTCTGCACACCCTCAGCAGCGCCCCCACCCGAAATACCTCCTCTGCCTGCCCCTATGTGACCACAGTATGGCAAGCACAGTCCAGCACCCGCTGCAGCACAACGTCACACACACACCGTTCCCAAGGCTGCAGGGAACAGTCTCCAGCCGAAGATGCCTGGTTCGGTGTAAAACATGAGGCACTTCTCAGCTTCTGGCTCTGCCTTCTCCTGGATAAATAACTTTGGACACGGTACATGGCCCCTCAGAGCCCCAGGGCGCTCAACTGTGTAATGGATACGCCACTGCTCTCCTAGTGAGATGGTTGGGCTAAGTCATAGATATGCTCAATAAAAGAGTGTTTCCCGCTGGGCGCGGTGGCTCAAGCCTGTAATCCCAGCACTTTGGGAGGCCGAGGCGGGTGGATCACGAGGTCATTAGATCGAGACCACCCTGGTCAACACGGTGAAACCCCGTCTCTACTAAAAATACAAAAAATTAGCTGGGCATGGTGGCGCGTGCCTGTAATCCCAGCTACTCAGGAGGCTGAGGCAGGGGAATTGCCTGAACCCAGGAGGCGGAGGTTGCGGTGAGCCGAGATAGCCCCATTGCGCTCCAGCCTGGGTAACAAGAGAGAAACTCCGTCTCAAAAAAAAAAAAAAAAAAAAAAAGTGTTTCCTTTCTGTCCGACCTTTTCAAAGAAGCCAAAAGAAAACCACTGAGAGTCACCATTTGATCGGGGCAACTGTGAGGCAACAAATAAAATGTCTGCTATGTGTCTAGCCTGTGAGCAAGGCAAATGCCTTTCCTGAACTCAGGGAGATTACTTTTCAGTGTGAGGAAGAAAGACATGAAACCAAATAACTTGCACAGATGAATATACAATTGCAACACATCTAGGAGGTATGGATGAGAGAAGCATGTAACACCCAGAGTGACATTATTCACTTTAGGGGTCAGGAAAGCCTGTCTGAGAAAGTGCTGTCAGGCAGGAGCAGAACCAGAAATCCAATCAAAATCAGACTCAAGGGCCCGCCCCAACTGCGGTCTTGGCCGCCACGTGCCAGGTGGCCTCAAGTGACCTGAGAACTGGACCACTTGCTGTTTGAGATGCAACTCTGCTTCAGACAGCTTGGCACCACTCATCGCTCCAAGCCAGCAGCCTCCCAGGCCACAAGGCTCAGACCTGAGAGGCCAGTCCTTCCACTTGTCAGCTGCAGAACTGCAACAGGCCTTTGTGGCCAACCCAGCTGCTCCCTCCCTCCAGCTGGCACGAGACTCCATTTCCTCATTTGCCACTGACTTGTCACTCTGCCTTCCCGTGGGCTGCAGGGAAACTCTGACCTTTAATCCACTGTCCATGCCAACCAGCTGTACCCAGATCAGAGTTCAGCACTGCCTCCCTGGCTGTGCTCAGAAGGATCAGCGGGGCCAAGAAATGCCCATCATCCCCAGAAGCTACCCTAGCCAGCATTATCCACCACGTGCTGAGTGTCTGCCATGTGATCAGCATTTCAATGTCTCCTCGATCTTCAACTCCAGTCCTGTGACATTTGATAGTACTTAACCCTTCCCTGCAGGGAAAGGAATCCAGCAGTTTGCATGGAGGCATGCCATGTGTATGGTGAAAGATTCACACCCAGGCCCATCTGCCTCCACATGCACCTGCCCACATCCAACCCTCACAGTACCAGCCATATGGCCCATGTTGTTCCTAGCTCTAAGCACAGAGCCAAGAAATTACTCCCCCACGCATATCTTCCCATTGAATCTCCCATGTCTTCATTCATTAACAATCCTGTCTTAATTTACCCTTTCTGCAGTATCAGAGGCTGTGCCAAGTGGCACACAATGTCTTCAGGACACAGAACCAACAGCAGAGGCACTTTATAGGGAGGTCGATGGTGACAGCTAAACCGGGAGAATCAGAAAAATGGTGATGTGTGTCTACAATCACACATATCAGTGCAGGGAGCAGTCATGGCTTCCAGGAAGGACCTCTGGACTTCCCTCTGTCTCCCCCATGCACCCAGTATCACACCAACCACACAGAGGTGCTCATTAAGTGCTAGCTCGTTGCGACAACCAGCCACATCCCAGCGTGCCCTCCGCCACCAGCCAGGACAACCTCACCTCAAGCCCAGCTGAGCACTGGACAGAACGTGCGTGAGACGCTCCACCAGGAGAGTCGGGGTCTTACGTTCCACAGAGAGACCCAAAGGAAGTTGGCAGAGACCCAAGTAAACAGAGCTCTTAGTCCTCGCAGCCAGCTGCAATCCCTCGTCCCCCATGGACATCCAAGCTCTAAGAATCCATGAGGCACTCAGCCAGGGCTACCCCTAAAACCACTTTAAGTATCCTGAAATGTGCCGGGCGTGTGTCATTCCAGTGCATGGTTCCACCAGGGTTATTCCCTAGACGACTGAATATTCACTGTAAATCCATCAGGCTCAGAAAATAATACTTGACCGAAGCTCCATGCAGCTGACAGGCGCAGCCATCTTGAGGGGCATCTTTTTCATCTCCTTCTGGCCAAAAGATCAGGCCTGCAACAGGGAAGAAGAAAAAAAACAGTCTCGTCACGGTCACCGACCCCAAGCAGTATTCAGTCATTCTTTCCTCCTTGTAGTTGGTCCTAACACAGTCAGAGAGTAACTCACTACAAATAATTCTCCATACCTGGTAACACACAAAGGTGAGACTGGCCTCTAGGGAGGCCTTCAGGTGAGAGCTGCCTCCCCTGTGGCACCAAGGACCTCTCAGACAGAGAACTGCCAGGTGCTCGGAGCCTCAGGACCACCCTGGGAGGGGAGAGGAGGCTGTGGGGCGTCCATTATAAAGATGAGGGGAGAACACTTGTGAGTGGCTTACAAAGCTGACAGCATGGCCAGGCCTGGCACGCTGCCGAGGCTCCCCTGCAGAGCTGAGACGTCCTTGCTGGGAGCTGGGGGTTTAGGGTCAGCTGGTAGGAAGTAGTTCTTTGTTTTGTTTCTTTTTAAAGACAACCACAGAGCCCTGGCCTGGCTCCAGGCCTTGTCCGGCACTGCAAGCCACTTCCAGGGCAGGGCCTGAGGCCTGCACTTTCCTTACTCATTCATTCAGTGATTACTGAGCACCTGCCAGGTACTCAGCACTGTTCCATCAGTGGGGCGATAGCTTTGTCTTCCCAGTCCAGTGTATTTAAATTACTCCAGAGATAACTGAAGAACAAATCGGTCCAAGGGCCTGGGGCTGGAGGCTCAATATCCCCCAACCCACCCAGTGATAACATTAACTGCCCTTTGAGGAACGTCTATGATATACTTGCTAATATCTCGGCCTCTCCATCTGATTCGCTCTCGGGACGCCTGCCCCTATTTTCCAGATGAAGAAATGGAGGAACAGACAACCAATCTGCTTCAGACTAGTAAGAGAGGAGCCTAAATCTGAGGCTAGACAGTCTGTCTCCCAAGTCTATGCCCTGATCCGATGCTCTAAGTTACCTTGTGAGGAATTCCTGCCCAGAATGGCCGCAGCTAAAACTTACTTCTAGGCTTTCTGCATGTGTGAAACCCTCATTTCATCCTCACAAAAAACGATGAGTTGTAGATTATTGTTAACCAAATTTAGAGATGAGAAATTTGAGGCCCAGAGAAGTGAAGCAACTTCCACAAGGTCACACAGCTAAAAAAGAAAAAAAACCACACAGAAAAGGGGTTTGAGACACTGCTAGGTAGCTCATGCCTGTAAGCCTAGCACTTTGTGATGCTGAGGCTGGTGGTTCACCTCGAGGCCAGGAGTTCAAGATCAGACTGGCCAACATGGCAAAACCCTCTCTCTACTAAAAATACAAAAATTAGCTGGGTGTGGTGGTACATACCTGTAATTCTAGCTATTTGGGAGGCTGAGGAATGGGAATCGCTTGAACCAAAGTGACAGAGGTTGCAGTGAGCTGAGATCACACCACTGCATTCCAGCCTGGGCCACAGAATGAGTCTCTATCTTCCAAAAAAAAAAAAAAAAAAAAAAACAGGAAAATGTTTTTAACAAGGCAGACTGGCAGACTGGCAGACTGGCTCCAAAGCCCATGAGCTTGACCACTACTCCAACTCCCATCAAAAGCAACTATTACCGCCCAAGAAATGTTTACAAACTTAGTGGTTTAAAACAGAAAAATAAATAAAAAATAAAACAGCACACATTTACGATCTTCAGGTTCTAGAAGTCAGAAGTCTGACACGGGTCTCACGGGGCTAAAATCAGGCTGTTGGGAAGTCTGTGTTCCTTTCTGGTGGCTGAGAGGGAATGGGTGTCCTTGCTTTTCTAGCTTCTAAAGCCTGCCTCATATGCCTTGCCTATAGCTTCTTCTGTCTTCAATTACAGCTCCAATGCATCTCTTTCACTCTGCCTCTGTGGCCGTATCTCTGTCTCTGAATAACTCTCTGCCTCCCTCTTCCACTCCTAAGGACCCATGTGATTATACTGGGCTCTCCCAGATCATCCAAAATCATCTGTCATCGCAGGGTCCTTGGCCTTCATAGCATCTGCAAAGTCCCTTTTGACATGCCAGGCAATATATCCACAGGTTCTAGGGATTCGGATGTGGACATTTAGGGGGATGGTATTCTGCCTGCCATGCAGGAATGACAGAGAGCACCCATCTCCTGTTTTAAGCATTCTTCAGTGAGGAGGTACAACCCTTTCTCCAAATGGAAATCAAGCTAGCTACCTCACCCTAACCACAATGCACACAGCCACATACATCTGCACGGCCAATGAAGAAATCAGGAATGAAACAGTAAGCCATGTTTTTTCCTAAAAGCATATCCGGCTGGGCACATTGGCTCACATCTCTAATCCCAGCACTTTGGGAGGCCGAGGCGGGTGGATCACGAAGTCAAGAGATCAAGATCATCCTGGCCAACATAGTGAAACCCCGTCTCTACTAAAAAATACAAAAATGAGCTGGGCGTGGTTGCACATGCCTGTAGTCCCAGCTACTCGGGAGGCTAAAGCAGGAGAACTGTTTGATCCAGGGAGGCGGAGCTTGCAGTGAGCCAAGATCGCGCCACTGCACTCCAGCCTCGCACCTGGCTACAGAGCAAGACTGTCTCAAGAAAAAATAACTAATAAATAAATAAAATATCCACCCCATTGCCCCTTATAACATCTGGGGCGACCCACTGTCCTCGTTTGTAAAAAGGAAAACAGTGCTTGCCACACGGGGTTCATGCCAAGATCACTGCGATCCTCAGGGTCAGAATGGCCTCCAATTAATGAGGACATTTTAGGTGGTTGACACTGTGCTAGGTGCTTAAAACACATTATTTTATTTACTTCAACTGCAACAGCTGGTGGGAGGTAGACTTAGTTTTCCCACTCTGCATATGAGACTCCTGAGGCTCAGACTTTAAGAGACAGTCAGGCCAGGTGCAGTGGCTCACATCTGTAATCTTAGCACTTTGGGAGGCTGAGGTGGGTGGATCATCTGAGGTCAGGAGTTCAACACCAACCTGGCCAACATGGCAAAACGCTGTCTCTACTAAAAATACAAAAATTAGCCAGGTGTGGTGGTGCACACCTGTAATCCCAGCTACCTGGGAGGCTGAGACAGGAGAATCACTTGAACCCAGGAGGCAGAGGTTGCAGTGAGCCAAGATTGTGCCACTGCACTCCAGCCTCGGTGACAGAATGAGGATCAGTCTCAAAAAAAAAGAGATAGAGTCAGATTCTGCATCCAAGCTGGGTTTGACGCCAAAGCTGTGTTCTTTCCATTCTGAGACACACTCTTTCTTATTTAAATAAGACAGTGTTTTTAGGCCAAGTGCAATGGCTCATGCCTGTAAATCCTAGCACTTTGGGAGGCCCAGGTGGGTGGATTGCCTGAGGTTAGGAGTTCGAGACCAGCATGGCCAACATGGCGCAACCCCATCTCCACTAAAAATACAAAAAATTAGCACGGTGTGGTGGCAGGTACTACCTGGGAGGCTGAGGCATGAGAATCACTTGAACTCAGGAGATGGAGGTTGTAGTGAACCGAGTTTGAGATTGCACCACTGCACTCCAGCCTGGGTGACACAGCACAGAGTGAGACCCTGTCTTTTAAAAAAAAAAGAAAAAGACAGTATTTCTAGAAACTTCAAGAAGGTTCTGGCAATGGTTGAGTAGCTCCTATTGAACCAGTTCCTTGGTGCAGAGCAACTATAAACACTGAACAAAATATTTTAAAAAAACTAAAAATCCTCAAGGCACCAGGTGACCAAAAGTAGGACATCCTGGAATGTGATCAAGACTTGGAAAAAAGAAATTCAGCACTCCAATGAGTTCCTGCTTTTGGTCCATTTTAGCCTGAGGGTAGGCCCAGTTCTGCAACATATGGGTGGCTAACACTTAGACGGTCTTGCTGTGCTGAAACATCAGGACAGAGATCAAGGTAACACACAGGTGAAAGTGACAGAACAAATCCTGGAAAAACTGTTTTCGGAAAGGGGAGTTCAAGTTCTGGGTACAAATGCTCCCTAAGTCACTAAGTGACTCCTGAGCCAAGCTTGTATGCAGCAGCCCAATTAAAGCCAAAAGAACGCAACAGCAATTTCCATTGCTGCCCAATACTAGGGAGTCAGAGTTTGAAGTCTGAGTTTACTGAGTTAACTACCTACTGAAATGAAAAAGCACTACTCTTTGCAGGAACAAAACAGAATCAGCCCCTACAAAGTATCACTCACAATGTCTGTGATACAATTTAAAATAGCTGAATATAACAACAACCAAAGAGAAAACAAAAACAGGAAATGTGATCCATCCTTTTTTTTTTTTTTTTTTTTTTCAGACGGAGTTTTGCTGTTGTTACCCAGGCTGGAGTGCAATGGCGCGATCTCGGCTCACCGCAACCTCCGCCTCCTGGGTTCAGGCAATTCTCCTGCCTCAGCCTCCTGAGTAGCTGGGATTACAGGCACGTGCCACCATGCCCAGCTAATTTTTTGTATTTTTAGTAGAGACGGGGTTTCACCATGTTGACCAGGATGGTCTCGATCTCTTGACCTCGTGATCCACCCGCCTCGGCCTCCCAAAGTGCTGGGATTACAGGCGTGAGCCACCGCGCCCGGCCCATGTGATCCATTCTTGACCGTCCCTATGACCCTGAGGTGACCCGGTTTCTGGAATTAGCAGACAAGGGTTTTTGAAGCAGTTATTATAACTATGCTCAAAGACTCAAAGGAAAATATATTCTTAGTAAACAAAAAGATAAGGTTAACAAAGAAAGAAAACAGAACGGCCAGGCGCGGTGGCTCAAGCCTGTAATCCCAGCACTTTGGGAGGTCGAGGCGGGCGGATCACGAGGTCAAGAGATCAAGACCATCCTGGCCAACATGGTGAAACCCTGTCTCTACTAAAAATACAAAAACTAGCTGGGCGCGGTGGCATGCTACTCAGGAGGCTGAGGCAGGAGAATTGCTTGAACCCAGGAGGCGGAGGTTGCAGTGAGCCGAGATTGTGCCACTGCACTCCAGTCTAGCGCCTGGCAACAGAGTGAGACTCTGTCTCAAAGGAAAGAAAGAAAGAAAAG